GTTCCATTTAGCTAATCAATGTTCTTTTTGAATAATCCATACAGACTAGGTTTCTGTCATCCATAACTAAAGCAATTCTGACTAAAACAAGGTCTCATGGCCAGGAAGTGGCAGCATTTGGATCAAAGCCCAGGATCTTAACCACTCTATTAAACTGGCATCATCTCCTGTTCTAATCTTCATGCCAGTTCCTAGCAGCAACCCACGCCCATCAATAATCCCAACAGCTCACATTTGCTGAGGGCTTGACAGCCCAGAAATGTGTGCTCTCGCACACATCATCACTTTTCTACAAAAAGGAATTGAGATATACTTCACATACCATAAAACTCACCCTTTTAAAGTGTACAATTCAGTGGTTTTTAGTATATTTACAAGGTTGTGCAACCATGACCACTATCTGATTCCAGAACAATTTCATCACCCCCAAAAGATACCCAGTACCCATTAGCAGGCTCTCCTCCTTTCTCCCTCCCCCTGGTTCCTGGCAACCACTAATCTGCTTTCTATCTTTATGGATTTGCCTCTTCCGGACACACGTCATCACTTTTAACTCCAGAGGAGCCTTGTGAAGCAGTGACTCATGAGGGGCGCACAGCACAGCTGAGTGGCTGAGACTGTGACCCCAGTGTTGCCTGCCCAGCTTCAAATCCAAGCTCTAATGCTCACTGGCTGTGTGACCTTGGGCAGATGCCCGAACCTTTCTGAGCCTGGGTTTCTTCATCTGTACTACCTGATAAGCTTGACATGAGGATTAAACAAGTCATTTCATCTCGAGGCTGAGTAGGCAACATCCCAGGAATGCCAGCTGTTGCTACTATGGCCACCCCATGCTACTGATGAAGAAGTCACCATCGGGCACAGAGGGGTTAAGGGGTGCGCCCATGGCCACACAGCACAGGTGGCTGGGTCCCAAGTCTCCTGACCGAGTCCTCTGCTGTTTCCATTACGCCACACTGGCCGAGCTGCTCCTCCACGAAAGATCGACCGTCCCCTACACCCTGAGCCAAGCTGCTTCTGAAAAAGCCAAGGCTACTCGCCAGCCAGGAGTGGGGGCGGGGTGAGTCATGAAATCACCCGACTTCAGGGTGCTGTGGTCCCATGCGGGCGGGCCTCCTCCTCCCCCGGTCCTTGGGATCAGCACACTTTGGCGGGTGGGGTCCTGCCTTGACTTCTTCCAGTTTCCCCCAATCCGGTATGGGGTTGGAGGCAGGGCAGGCCCCTCTGGAATTTCAGGACTCTCCCACTCCAGCTGCCCATCTGGAACTCTTTAAAGCTCCCTTAAGCCCTGCCTCTAGACAACTTTGTTATGGGAGTGGAGTCTCAGGCGGCTTTATGTCACAGTAAACCTCCAATTATTACCTATTATGGCGAGGCGGGGAGGAAACCTCACTTTTAAGTTCTGGGAGAAGTAAGAAAGTTGAGTTAGAACAGGAGAGTAGAAGGAATACGGGCTCTGGGCCAGGGCGCCCTGGGATCCAGCCCCGCCTCAAATGTCCCCAAATGATGTCCCTTTGGGCAGGTCCCATCTGAGCACAGTGACAGCAGATGGCTGCTACTGCTCGCTGAGCCCGGCACTGCTCAGGGAGCTGTCACAAGAGATGCGGGGAAAGTGCTTTCATTCTTAACACGGGGGTGGGGAAACAGGCTCAGAATCAGAGCGGCGACACCAAGTGAGACCGAAAAGGCAAAGCTGAGACATGAACCCAGGTCGGTCAAACCCCAGAAGTCAAGGTCAGAAGCCTTGAGCTCAGCTGGGACGGGCAAACCGATGACCCAGTCAAACTCCCCACACAGTGCCCGGCCCACGTGGGCCGCAGTGAGCATCTCCACCCATGCCTCCCGGGCCTCCTCCTCACCCTCTTCCCATGAACTTCCTCCTCCAGGCAATGCGGTTCCACCCGTTCCACCCTTAGGGCCACAGATGACAGGCTCGGCGGTGGACTCTGACCCCAGACACTGACACTCAGGCGCTCTCTCTCAGACACTGGAATCGGCACCCAAACTCCAGCGCCTGAACATGGGGAAGGGCACTTCACCTAGGGAGTGAAGGTGATGATTTGGGGATGTGGGTCAACGGGCCAGCAGAGGAAGCTGGCCCAGAGGCGTTGGCAGGAAAGGGAGATTGTTAGGAGAGTTTCTGGTCATGTGATACATGGCCTGGGGGCTTCTGGAGGGTCATTCTATTGCTGGCTCCAGGACCCTGTGAAGCCAACTACATTCCTTGCTCTGGGTTCCATGGGGACACACCTGCCTCCTCGAATCAATCCACCCCATTTCTGTCTGCCTAAGCTAGCTGGGAGGGTGTCTGTTCTGTGCACGCCGTTATTCTCTAGGTGAGCAGTCACCCACGTCACCCATCTCTGCCCCCTCTACTCCTTCTTGGATGCATCAGGCAGGGAAGAGGCCTCTGAAAGCAAAATGCAGGTAGCACTCCCTGCTCCCCCCAGAGCAGACCCTCAGTGCATAAAGAAAACCAGTCTAACAACTTGCAAAATATTTACCCAACACCTATGCTTTAGAGATCTGCCATAATGGGTCTGCATAAATCACCCCTGTGTCTGGGAAGAGGGTGTGGCTCTCCATCAGTTTCACACAGGACTGAGGTTCAGCTTGTGGTGCCTGGAGGCATTGGGCATTACAGCTATCACCTTCCCCGCCTTTGTCCCAGGGTCAGCCCTACCCTACTCCCCCTCACCAAGCCTGTGTCTACTCCTTCCTTTATGTATTTACTGGCTGTGCCACATGGTTTGTGGGATCTCAGGATCTTAGTTCTCCAATCAGGGATTGAACTTGCGCCCCCTGCAGTGGAAGCATGGAGTCTTAATCACTGGACTGCCGGCGAAGTCCCCTGCCGAGTCAATTGTGGATAGTATCTTAGCATCTTTAACACAGAGCCTCTTTGGGTATTGACATTTGGTACATGTTTGCTGTGGACCAGAAGAAAAATATTGTTTGTATATGATCCTGTTTGGTTTTATTGCATCACTGAGTTCATTACATTTTAAGTAGTTAGGCAACAGGGGTTAACTGCTGGCCCATGTACAATGACTCTTGGCAGTGTGTAATGTAGACTGTTCGGTGATGCTGGGGAAACCGGTTAAGAGCACATTAACATTGCTCCTCCCCCTTTAAAATATTGGAACACAGGCTCTGAAAATCTTCTGTCTGACATTTTCAGGAACAGACTAGGTCTGTTCAACCAAGGATGCCTGTGGTCAGTATCACCTAACCTTCAGAAAGAACATGGGAGGCACAGAGACAGGCTGGTGCGTGGAGGACCAGGGCCCTTCTGACGGCCCCGCAGTGCCTTCCCTACCACGGATCACAGCTGTTCTCTCCGCGTCTCAGTTCCCAGCCCCGTGACTGGGAGGCAGGGCAGGGGCTGGCTAAGTCTACGGGCCATCACACTCCTCAGCCCTACTGACTGTCTTAGAGATGAGCCTACAAAACACTGTGTTTGCTGGCACTTCTGTGAAGTGACCTTTCACTCTTTCCTGCTGAGTGTGAGCCCAGAGTATTTTGCAACCACATGAGACCTGAGATAAAGCCAATGCCAGGGAACTGGGAATCCAGGACAAGAGAGAGAAGCTGGACAAGAGGACACAGTGGAAAACCCTGGATCAAGCTGTGCCTGAAGCTTGCCAGTTTCCCTCTCCCAGGGCATTCTATTACAATAGTCCCCTAAATCTTCCTGTTTACCTAGGCCAGTTTGAGTTGGGTTTCCGTCATCTGCAACAAAACCAGCCTAACTGGCACAGAGGAAAAGAAGACAGTCATCTCCACGAGGCCTTACACTGGCCTGCCAGGTATGCGAACCCCTCACCACATGGAAAGGAGCACATGTGAATTCAGGAAGCCACGCAAGTTCCCATCTCCTCCTAAGGCCTGTGTTTTCTAAAGAAGTTTGCTACATGATCTCAGGCACTGTGACTTCTCGAGACACACTTGCTCTGATTTCCTGGCCGTTGGGGATGTCAGGATAACGCTACTGGTCCATGGATTAGAGGTCTTTTGCCCCTGTGGGGCGGGGCTTGCACAGAGCTGTGCAGAGGCTCTGCACGAGACTGGTGGTGCTCAGTGTGGATATTAGTTCGTCCCTTTGTTCACCTGCTCATTCATCCATTCACAGATGCTGACTGGCTACATACAGTGTCCTTGAGTGAAATAGGAAGGAGGGAGAGGATCAAGAAGACGTGGTTCCTGCCCACAAGAGCCATGGATTAGAGCGGGACAGGCAGACAACTTCAACAGAGTCAGGACAAAGCGTGCAGAGCTGTCGGGGCAGAGGAGACGTGGCTCCCGCTGGCTGGGAAATGAAGCCAGACCAGGCTCTCCAGGGGCTGAGCGTCCTGAAGGGCGGTGAGCCGACAAGGGCCTGGAGGGTGCAGGAGGCGTTTCAGGCGAGGACCAGCGCGAGGAAAGGGCAAGTGCGAAGCCCTCAATACACAGCAGGTGTTTCAGGGGCTAAGCATGGAGACTGATGCGGAGAGGAGGCCAAGGTGAGGGAAGGTTTGGGTCTGTCTTGAGAGCAGAATGGCCCCTGATTCTGATCACACATAACTCACCAGCAAACATGACTACACAAGTTTAAGACCTGAACGCCAAAGCCAAACACAAACAATTTCCAGACTAGCCTCCATTCTAGAGCAGTTAACAGGAGGCTTTCTTTTATTTGAAAAATACTGAATATCAAAGCAAAAGCAATACAGCCCATCACTTATGTCCCCAAAGTGATGGACACCTTAATTTTTTTTTCTTTAAATATGGAATGCTCCACAAATTTGTGTTATCCCTACACAGGGGCCAGACTCATCTTCTCTACATCTTTATAGTAGATGCGCTGCTGAGGCGAGCACATGGACATCATTTTTAAGTCTAGAAAATAAATACTATGCATCCACTGTGGGTGAGGATCCAGGCTCTGAAGTCAAAGTGGAAAGAAGGTCCATACACACTCTTTCCTACCCTGCAGCTCCCGGGAGACCCCACATCCTTACCTGGAGATCGAAGAACTTGCTGTAGCGCCGGTAAATGGCCTCCGTAGAGCCACTGGACCAGGTGACCCGGATGATGTAGACCTGCAGGGGGGAATGGAGACAGCCGTTAATGCGGAGGCAGCCTCTCCATCGCCAGGAGCCTAGAGCAAAGCACAAGGCTCAGAGGCAGGAAGGCCTGGGTTTGACTCTCAGCTCTGCCCCCAACCAGCTGTATGACTTGGGACACGCTACTCGCCCTCTCTGAGACCCAGCTTCCTCTCCAGTAAAATGGGTATAATACCCTAGCCTCTGAGAGTTGTGCAAAGGATCATAAGAAATCTAGTCTAGGAAAGCATAAGCACCCTGCTTATCTCAGGAGATGCTGCTGTTTTCAGGATTTCTTACTCTCCACTCAATTCAGGGAGCTATCGGGCTGGCTATTTTGTCAGCATCATTCTTAAGACTTGGATTTGTCAGAAGTCACAGCAACCTGTGGCTCTCAGCTCTCTTGTGTTTCTCATAAGCTTAGCCATCAAGTCATTTCCTCCAGCTGGGGCCTGGGCAGAGTCATCACTTCCGTCTATGTGACAGTTTCTCCATCTGTAAAGTGGGTTAATACCATCTGTTTCTGCTGCCTACCAGGACAGCGCGAGGCTCCAAAAAAGCAGAAGATGGGAAACCACTCTACAGACCACAGGGCCATGTTTCTAACCTCTGTCACTAACTGAAGCACGCACAGAAAATAATACATTGACAACAAACTCAGGCAAACCAAGGTGACGACGGAGGTCAGAGGCCTCTGGCTGGGGACTCTGGTGGCCCTGGACACCACCTGGGCACTCAAGAGATGAGGGATTAGCACATCCATTCCTGCTTTGCACAAATGATCTGGGGTTACAGGGTGCTGTGACATGTAAAACATACATGTGTGAAAGCCGTCTAGAAACAGAAATAAACCTGAGGGGCTGGGTGTTGTTAGAGGCAGAGGAGTCCATGGGCAAGGCTTCTGACTCCATAAGTGGAGAGTGAGCTGGGGAGACAGCATGTGCATAAATGAAGATAAATAACATGTGGACAGTGGAAATCACTACAGACGGTGACTGCAGCCATAAAATTAAAAGACACCTGCTCCTTGGAAGAAAAGCTACGACAATCCTGCTGCTGCTGCTCCTAAGTCGTTTCAGCCATGTCTGACTCTGTGCGACCCCATAGACGGCAGCCCACCAGGCTCCCCCGTCCCTGGGATTCTCCAGGCAAGAACACTGGAGTGGGTTGCCATTTCCTTCTCCAATGTGTGAAAGTGAAAAATGAAAGTGAAGTCGCTCAGTCGTGTCTGACTCTTAGCGACCCCACGGACTGCAGCCCACCAGGGTCCTCTGTCCATGTGATTTTCCAGGCAAGTGGGGCGCCAGAGTGGGGCGCCATTGCCGTCTCCAATGACAATCCTAGACAGCATATTAAAAAGCAGACACATCACTTTGCTGACAACGGTCCATCTAGTGAAAGCTATGATGTTTCCAGCAGTGTTGTACCGATGTGGGAGCTGGACCATAAAGGCTGAGTGCCAAAGAACTGACGCTTTTGAACTGTGGTGCTGAAGATTCTTGAGAGTCACTTGGACTGCAAGGAGATCCAACCAGTAAATCCTAAAGGATATCAACCCTGAATATTCATTGGAAGGACTGATGCTAAAGCTCCAATACTTTGGCCACCCGATGTGCAGAGCTGACTCATTGGAAAAGACCCTGATGCTGGGAAAGATTGAAGGCAAGAGGAGAAGGGGGCGACAGAGGATGAGATGGTTGGACGGCATCACTGATTCAATGGACATGACTTTGAGCAAATGCCATGGGATAGTGCATGAGGTTACAAACATTCAGACACAACTGAGTGACCCAACAACTACAGTAGACATCATTATTTTTTGCATTTAAATTTTTGTTAAATTGGAGCATAACTGCTTCACAATGTTGCATTGGCTTCTGCCACACAACAACGTGAATCAGCTGTGACTATACATACAGCCCCTCCGTCCTGCGCCTCCTCCCACCCCCAGCTCTATGTCACTGCCGAGTGCTGACTGAGCTCCCCGTGTTAGACAGCAGCCTCCCACGAGTCACGTTTACACACGGGAGAGGATACACACCAATGCCACTCTCTCAGTTCTTCCCACCCTCTCCTTCTCCTGCCGGGTCATTATTTTACTGTGTTGATAAACCTTTCTTTCAACCAGAGTGCCTGGACTTTTCTCCTGGGAACCTCCTTTTCCACCTCAACATAGTCCTTTAGGCACCACGCCGGATACCACTGTCCATAGTGACTGGTTAAGGAGTGATCATACGACTCATGCCAGGCCAACCATAGCCATTAAGAATCAGCTCTGGGACTTCTGCTCCGACCTTGAGAAAAACAACTCTTTTCCCTGAGATTGCTCTGCTGTTAGTTCACGACCTGGAGTTGCTGGGGGACTATCTCATCATCACTGAGGAGGAATGTGCCTGAGAACGATGCTAGCATCAGTAGGTTTCTCCCATCCAAGTACTAACCAGGCCCGAGCCTGCTTAGCTTCCGAGATCAGACGAGATCGGGCTCGTTCGGGGCGGTAGGGCCGGAGACTATCAGTAGATTCTGATGACACAGTCTGACCTTAGGGCCAGCTCTGCATGCAGCTCAGTCTGCTCCTGGTCTCTCCAGTTTCCTGAGCCAGTACATCTTGGGCCACACCCACACTCCGGGATTATTTTTGAAGCCAGTTTGAGTTGGGTTTTTGACACATGTAATTTAGTCCTGACTGGCACAGGAAGCGGGGCAGGAGAGCTCTCTGAAGCTTGAAGTCATTGTGGTGTACCTCAAAGGGCAGGTCGATGCAGAGAGCAGAAGGGAAGGGAGAGACGGTGGGCGGTGGGCGGTGGGGGACGGCGGCGGAGCAGAGACCAGCTCAGGAGGGGAAGGGAGAGGCGGTGGGCGGCGGGGGATGGCGGAGGAGCACAGACCAGCTCAGGAGGGGAAGGGAGAGGCGGTGGGCGGCGGGGGACGGCTGCGGAGCACAGACCAGCTCAGGGAGTACAAGGGCCAGGCCGGCAGGGGTCTCCAAGGTGGTTTTAAACAAAGTCTCTCCCCAAATGAGTTCTTGCTAGGATACCTTCATTCAAAACAGGAAAAGGAGGACCAGCTTTGGGCAGAGGGAGCCAGAGCCCATTGTAAACACTGGGGGCTGAAGGGAGAAGGATCTCCCAGTGAGAAGAGATGAAAAATTGATAGACAAATCAGGACAAGGTGGGAGGTGCCCTTGAATGCCCAACTCAGAGGTTCACTGGGAACAACCTCTCTAAATCCAACATCTATTTCATTTCAGTGAGGCAAGGCAGGGAGGAAAGAACCTGGGATCTAGAATCAGTTTACCAACCCCCAGAGCCTCAGTTTCCTTATCTGTAAAATGGAGTCATCAAGCCCATCTCACATAGACTTATGATGATTATCAGAGATAAAGCTCTGAGCTCCTTGCCTGGCAGAGAGGAAAGGTTCAAGAAGCCTTAGTATCCTGCACTCTGATTCCCCAGTGCCTACCCAGCCTCTGTTTTAGAAAGAAATGATTTCACGATTTCACAGGGATTCACGCATCTTGGCCCTTTTCTCTCCCTTTTTTCTCCCACTAGTCCTGGGTCGCTTATGGAGCCAAAGAACAGGTCAAGGCATCCTTTGGGACACAGAATCACCCTGGAAAAGTGATTATACAACAAAAAGAGTTGTTATCAAAGCCACCCCAATAGTCATCAGTGTTATGAAAAGGAAAACACCAATTCTGCTTCACTAGAATGAAGGAGATAGTCAGACAGTCCGGAACCTACTCTTAGAGAGTGGGAAGACAGGCAATAAACCAGCTGATGAAGAAATATGTGTGTAATTTAAGTTACACAGTGCTAGGAAGGACCCCAAAGCCCGCTGTGACAGTGCAAGACACGAGTGGTGGGGGTGGGTGTTCCTGGAAAGGAAAGTCCCTCTGAAGCAGACTTCGAACTGACACCTGAAAGATGACGAACTGGCCTGGAGAAGAGCTGAGGAATGTGTATTCCACACAGAAAGAAAAGTGCAAACAAAGATGTGCAGGCTGGAAAATGCTTGGCATGTTTGAGGAACCAGAAGACCATTAAGGCAAAACAGAGCTGGCGGGGAAGGGGGTGTTCCCAGGAGGGGCAGCGGTGGCATCACTGCAGGCTTATAAGCCAGGGTGAGGAACTGTATTCTGTTGAAGGTTTGAGAGGCGCAGGGGTTGGGGAAAAAGGATGAGATATAATTTAATGTATGTTTAAAAATAAATATATATGTAGATATATATACACACATGCATACCTCTGGCTGTTGTGCAGAAAATGGTTTTGAAAAGCGGCAGGGAAACTAGTAAATGGGCTTTTCCACATCTGAAAGGGACCATGGAACTCAAGTCAACACAACGGTCCCACCTTCCAGACGGGTAAATTGGGGCCTAGCATATACCTTACCAAGAGTCCCCATCCTGGGGGATGTATAAGCAAAGTTTAGATGACTATCTGTGAAGGACAATGCCAATATGGATTAAAAAACAAGGAAAGAAAGATAACTGAAGATGTAAAAGCCAACACAAAGCATACACCCATAAATGGAAAAAAACAATTCTGCTTACACAATTCATTCCTGATCTCTTGCTTACAATTTTAAAAATTCTGTCCCTATGGTACAAGAACTCTGCAGCAGATCTAATTGGTTTACTGGAATCAACCTCTGAACACAATTTGATGGCTTCAATTTTTAGGCACAGATCTAACTTTTTAATAAGAATTGTCCCACTGCAGGGCTTTGGCCTTGCCCAGGCTTGGGGGCTGGTGAAAGAGCCTGTGTGCTAGGTTCTAACGCCAGCTCTGCTGTGGGTTGAAACTCACAAGGTTTATCAATCTCTCTGGCCACAGCCTCCTCCTCTCTAACATGGGGGCCACAGGAAACCAACTTACGGTTCCCAAGGGGTAAGTGGAGGAGGGATTAAACTGGGAGGTTGGGATTGACATGTACACACTACTATATATAAACTAGACAACTAAAGAGAGCCTGCTGCATAGGACAGGGAACTCAGTACTCTATAATGACCTGTATGGGAACAGAGTCTAAGAAAGCGTGGACATGTGTGTAAGTATAACTGATTCACTGTG